TATATTATATATAATATTGAGTATTAAAACTCAAGGCTTGAATTAGTTCATTTCCTTCAGCTTAAGATATACTGATTGAGTTTGGCTCCTTTGATTTTTCTGACTGTAGTTCTTTTCACATTTTCTCATAATACTTTGCTTTGTCTTCAAATCTTCAGCTCCTTAATTTCTTGATTTCTTTCCTTTGTTTTGGCTTATCATCCCTCTAGTGCAATATTCAGAGTCTCTTCTGACATAGATTTTGGTTTTTCTTCTCTTTGTAGTAAATCCCTGCATTCTTCCTTGATGATATTCTTGATATCCTCCCACAGCTCATGGAGCTGGAGATAGAATTGTAGAATTTTGTACAATCAAGATTTATTCATTGTAAATGAGTTTTATAAGAAATGTAAATTCAGGTTATACACATGGATTTCACCGATGGGATGCATAGGAATCATATTGATGACAACTGTGGAAAGAATCGCTGGAGAGATGCTCAATATCAGCTGTGAAAACTAGGCAGGTGCTGATTGTGGAACAGACCACCAACTACTTATAAGCAAGTTCAAGCTGAAGCTAAGGAAAATTAAATCATATCCACGGGAACCAAAATCGACTTTGAGTCTATCCCGCCTGAATTTCAAAACCATCTCAGGAAGAAGTCTGAGGTGTTGAACACTGATGAGTGAGTAAAGAGAATATTCATGCCAAAGAACAATTCTAGGATGTTGCTACTATTGATTAATTATCTCAATATTTAAATGCCAGTCAGTGGGCTGTATGCCAGAACTATTACAATTTACAAAAGTAGACTAGATTCCTATCTTCTTAGAAATTGCTATTTATTGGTTGAATAAAGGCATTAATTAAACAATTACACAAAGCTTGTGACTTTACAATGGCAGCAAAGCACTACAGGATGAAATACATAGTCCTCTGAAAACCAGTTACGGGGGAGCTTACCTTGCTCAGGGGAGAGAAGCCATCCTAAGTTGATGATATTTAGTGATGCAGGTGCAGGGAGCTCTGGTGGCCTACTGGTATGAAGCTGTGTCGCAATTCCAAAGTTACACAGTTCAAATCCCCTAGCTGCTTTGAGGGATAAGGATGGGCAATCTGGTAGCCTAGTGATAAGGAGCAGTCCTATCATCCCAAAGACAAGTAGTTGAATAGACCAGCTGCTCCACAGGAGAAGATCAGATCATCTCCTTTTATGCGATTAAGTGCCTCTGAAAACCCTTCCATGGTACATAACAACAACAGTACAAGATGAATGTGAAGCGGGGGCCGGAGGTGGTAAAAATGGTTATGTCATTAACAACTAGATACATTTGATGGTTTGAACCCACCTGGAGGTTACTGAAAGGTAGAGAACAATCTTCTTTTGATCGGTCACAGCCTTGGAAATCCAATGAAATGGTTGTATTCTACATACACGAGGCCATCATGAATCAGAATCAACTTTACTACAACCAACAGTCAAATAGGCAAAAGTCACACAAGTGAAACCACCGGGCCTTCACAGTCTTCACTACTTGCTTCTGGTTATTACCTCAAACCCTGCAGGTAGATATTATTTGAAAACCTCTCAAGTCACCTGAGCTCCTATTCTGACCTTTTGCTCAGCTCTCCTATGCCACCGTCAAGTGAGATGCCTGTGAGAAGCTCCCCAGGCTGGTGGATAGCTTGCCAGTGTAAACCTGGAAGTGGAAAAGCCACTTTCGGGCTCCCACTGACAAATAGGAAATAGGAAGAGAGAAATCCTTCCCTCCTCAACTTCTTTCAGAGGAATCCTGAGGCTTATTCTTCATCTAACACCTCAGCAGAGATAATGTTTTTCACACCCCTGGTCAAAGATCTCATCTGTTCCTATCCTTCCAATCTCCTCTCCTGTTCCATGAGGTCATTCCCAGAATGTGTTGCGTGCCCACAGGCCCTTGTCTGCTCTACACAGGCAGCTGTGAGTTAGAAGACTCTTCTGGAGAGTTACTAACAACAACAATACTAGGACAATGTTAACTTTTTTTTTGTAAATTTATGCTTTTAAATTTAATAGCTCTTTTCTTTTATTATAGTCATCTGATTGTTAACATCTGTTTTTGACAGATGGTATGCACTTGCCATTTACAATAGTGGCAGTTATCCTTTTTAAATGAAGCATATTCAAGTTTATGAAATATTGTAGAAAAAGCGTTTCAGATAGTACTTAGACATGGCAACAATAAAAAAAAAAGTTGCACATAACTACCAAGAGGTTATGATCATCATTCTGAAATATGAGGGTGAAAATGAACTTGCAGGCTGTTAATCAAATGGTCCTATTTCCCAGAAGGTATATTTCTCACTATGTATTTCACAGGGAGGATCTGTAAGTAGCTAGACATAAAAATAAAAAAGATTTCTCACATTGTAAGAGAGCATTAGTATTTCTGGCAAAATACGTTTTGTTAGATGCTCAATGTCTTACGTCTTATTACATGAATTATTAATAAGAGATAAGTAGAGAGGAGTAGATGTAAACTCTTAGAGTTGAAATGTTTATTTGTATGTCTATCTTTGTATTTAGTGTCTGTTGTTATTATGTAAGTTTCTTGAGGCAAAGTCACCATTCTCTTTAACTCACTGCACATACCTGTGGGCACTTAAGTAATCCATTTCTAATTTTCTAGGAATTTTATATGCATATACACGCTAATTATGCATACATGTATATGTACATAATTAAAAAAATATTGGTTTGCTTACAAAGTTCATATAGATTATATTTCACACTACCCTTCATTCATATTGTGCTTCATATAACCATTCCCGTTTATTATATTTTATAAAATTAATCAACATTGAACTATGCCCACCACTAGCCTGTCTTTCCAGATTCCCACAGGATCTTTTCCATTTCTTTACCCATCTTTCTCTCCTCCCATCAAATTGTGTGACCCAATGATTTTTTCTCCCTTCTGATCCTCACCCCTCCGCTCCTACCCTTCCCTTCTTGGATCCTCATACACGTTTTACCAGTTATTTTTCTATTTCTAAAATAATGGTTTATACAGTATTTGTCCTTATGAGAATTGAGTTAGTTGGATGAGCATAATGCTTTCTAGTCCCTCCCAAGTTATGTAGTAATTTACAAAACTGTTGCTCCTGAGTGCTGCATAGTATTCTACCATGTGAATGTATGACAATTTCTCAGTCCTTTCAATTACGGTTGGACATTTGGGCTGTTTCGATGTTCTTACAATAGTGAATAACACTTCTATAAATATTGATGTACATATATCCGTTTGCACATATCTTTTAAAACAAGTAAGGTCATATCATATTTGATTTTTTTCCTATAAAAAGCATTTTCTATATTGTTGCTGTGTGTCACTGACTAACTAACTAGAGCTATCCCTCCAGTGAGTTTCAGAGACAATAAAATGGCTAGGAGGAGATTGCCCATCCTTCTTCCACCAAGCTTCTACTGGATTCAAACCAACAGCCTTTGAGATTGCAGTGCAGCTTCTTATCACTAAGCCACAAAAACTCCCTAATTTTATAAGAGTAGCGCAGGAGGGGAAAGCCCTCAATGAGGTGGATTGATTCAGTGACTGGGGTAATCGAGATGGGAGTGTCAGAGACAGTGCGATTGGCACAGGACAGAGCAGAGTTTAGGGCTGTTGTACATAGGGTCGCTATGAGTCGCAGGCGACTCGACGGCACATAACAACAGCAACAACATAAAATTATAATATTTTATAAACACTTTTATCAAGGTACACTTCACATACCATAAAGTTCTTCTTTTTAAAGCATTCAGTGGCTTTTGTTTATTCAGATAGCAGTATGCCCATCACAACACTAGTGCTTTTTCCCCCCAAGAATTCACAATACTTCTTTGTGAACTCTATGTTTATTCAATTCATCTTTTCCTGAAAACACACATTGGAAGTGTTCTCAATTTTCATCTGGAAGAAGGAATGCTTCCATTGTGTACATAAATGTGTGCCCTTGGGTGTCTTGCTGTAGGATCAATTTCTAGAAGTGGACTTCTTCCATGCTTAAGTCATTACAAATTTCTCCTAAAGGCCTGTGACAGTTCAGCTTCCCCTGTAGTTATGACAGGGCCTACTTCACCATGCTTTCATCATGTTAGTGCAGATAAGCCCGGATTTTTAAATTGTTACCACTCTCTGAAGAAAACTCATTGCTAACATTCATCTTACTTTTATATGTGAGTTTAATTTTCTCATTGTTTTAATTTATTGTATATTCTGTGAATTTCTTATTCAGGACTTTTTTTCATCCTCCCACATCCCTCATTAGATTGTCTATATATTTTGTACTGATTTGTAGAAAGTATTTTGAATGTTAGAAATATTAATGCTGTATCAACTGTCTCAGATATTTTAACTGTTTTCTTCAACTTTCCTTTTTCGGTCTTTTGATTCTCTAAGTAGTGTTCTTTGTCAGATAAAACTGTTAAAGTTTTACATGGCTCAGTATTTTCTTATGTAGTTTTGATTCAAGTGGGAAGGTTATAAAAATTTATCAGTAAAAATAAGGCTTCTGACCCAGGAATTGGAAATAATACGTTTTGGTTAATAAAAACAAAGTCTTTTTCATTGTTTCAGATGCTTTTGCTATGTCCTAGTAAGTTCTTCAACCTTAACTGCCGTCTTCAAACTTACTATTTTTAGGAACTTGAGACACTTGGTGCCAGTACTGAGACACTTTGAGTTAAGAAATGCGTGTTTTAATAGAAGCCCCATTTCCACAGGAATTTGTGCGGCTGACTGTTTCTGATGTTCTGACCACCTACGTCACGATCCTCATCGGGGATTTCCTCAGGGCTTGTTTTGTTCGGTTTTGCAACTATTGCTGGTGCTGGGATTTGGAATATGGATACGTAAGTATGTTCATTTTTGTCTTACAGAATTATTCCTTTGGGGTCTATCCTTTAAACATACTAGCAGGAAGGAGAAGAATGAAGTCTATTTTTTTTCAGACATCAATAATTGAAGACTGATGAGCGCAGTTATAATGCAGTGAAGGTCAGAAGTCTTCCAGCGTTCTGATAACATCAGCACAGGGGCTAAATCAATGGACCTCAACCTGTCAGTTAAAGTGTTGAACTCAGGAAATTTGGGACCCACACTCAGCTTCTTTCCCATGCATCTTGTTAGCATTTCTAGGGACGATGCAAGATGGAGATTATTAGCTGCACACTAAGTTAATTCCTTTGACCCTCTCAAAAAAAAAACTACTGGGAAATTATGATCTATCAAGTCACTGAGTAGTATATTGGGTGATAAAAAAAAGTCAATAAATATGGTCCTTGCTGTGTCAAGCATTTAAAAGTGCGGCAGAAATAACAGCAAGAGGTTTGTAAATACCCCAGAAGGCCCTTGGTGATTTGCTAATCAGAGTTCTGACAAGTCTTGGGGCTGAGTTCTGGTAGGGCTGGATTCCTTTCTTGTGTTCATGGCTCATTTTTCTTTGGACTCCAACATCATTGACTCCAGTGCCACCTCCCCCTCTGTGCTCAACCCCAGGATCTTCCCAAAGTTTAATGACAGTGGTGGAGTAAACTTCACCCTGCGGTCTAACACATCCCTTTTCCTTTTTTTGCAAATGAATCGAAATCCTCTTATCTCAGAGAATTATCTTCTGAGTTGGACTAATAACTACTCATTTGCCTACAATCCCTCAAAAGCTTCCTGAGCACTTAGGTCATGCTTGAAAATTGATTATTTTTCTGTTCTGTATCATCAAGTGCAAACTTATTCATGGTTGACCCTCTAGTGAATCTTCAAAGGCAGAATATCATACGGGATATTGCCCATCTTTCTCTCATGGAACAGCTGGTGAATTCAAACCATGTGCCTTTGGGTTGGCCCCACAACTCCTTATTAGTAAGCAATACCAGAACTTAAAATCTAGAAACATCACTATCCTATATGATCTTTCTTCCTCCTTGAGTTCATCTCTCATCTCTCCCTGTTTGTTAAGCATAAAACATTAGTTTCTTTGAAGCTCAATCAAGATGAGCCTTATCTTTGCACTCACTGCTTCTGGAGGAACTCTGGTGGCATTACGGTTAAGGCATTCAGCTGCTGATCAGAAGACTGGAACTTTAAACTCAGCAGCCACGCCATGGGAGAAAGACAAGGCAGTCTGCTTTTGAAAAGACTATGGCCTTGGACACCCCATGAGCAGTTTTACCCTGTCCTATGGGGTGGTTATGAGTTGGAATTGACTCAGTAACAGTGAATTTTCCTTTTCTCTGGTTTTTCTACAGTGTTGCTGCTCTAGAATTGGACATGGTCAAGTCTTGTCATCAAAGTCCCAGCTAATGTCATTTCCTTAGAGGTCTTCTCCAACTATTGCATACTCTCCATTTTAATGTATGCTTTATTTTCTTCACAAGGCATCCTATTTAGTGGTTCCTTTTCCCTAGGTTTTACATTTCTTTGTGTGTTTCCCTTTATTACAAAGTAAAGCCTATAAAAGCATCGGCTTTGGCCTCTATACTTTCTCCTTTGATTAACCATTGTGATATTATGTCAGTATTATTAGGGCTGCAGAGCCCTTTCCTTCCTTTCCTAGAATGGCCACCGAAACGATCCAATCACAGGCAGCAGCAGCTGTGGCTGTTTGTCTGCCAAGGATGCGAAATATTTCTACCTCCTTTCCCAGAAATAGTAATCTAAGACCTCCACCCACTGCCCACTTCCCTACCTTGTAAAAAACATCTGTGAGCCTCCCCTTCTCCAAGTTCCTTGTAAGAGACCATAAAACCCCTCTCTAACTTTTAGTGGGGCCTGGTTTTCTCCTTAAAATCCAGCCCAGCAGTTTCTTCTCAATGAACTGTATTTCTTGGCCTGATCTGGGTTCTGTGCTTCCTCGATGACCATACAAGTAAGTGCCAACCAACTAACTGAGAAGGAACATTGGTGGTGCAGGGAATTATGTATCGCACAACCATCTGAAAGGTCAGCAGTGTGGATGCTTGGCGACTCAGTGAGTTGGGGTAGACTCGAGGGCCGCTGGAAGTGGGTAACTGACTGAGCATTGACCTTTTACATCATAGCATCACCAAGGCTTCTGTTGGTGAATTCTGCCTTCCTCAGGGCTGTGCCAGCGGAATCCGTTCCAGCTTAAGGTTTTTGAACCAATGTTTGTGTTGTTTATCCCAGTGGAGGCGGATTCTTCTGATATGCCTCCTCCTTGTCAGGGCCTCTCAGCTCTGAATAGTTCTGCACTCAAAGTTTTCAAGATTCCAGGTGAGATTGACTGCTTGGTAATCTGACTTTGAGATCATCACATTTATTAGGTCATTTCTCTTATACTCACTGAAAGTGCCTCCTCAGACAAGCTGAAGGCAGTTAGGTAATGCTCTTTGGTGAAGAGGGTGAGGTAATGCTATAGATCCAGGATGCTGCTGCACTGTTTTCCTTCCCCCATGTGAGGTATTCAGCTGGCTCACTGTCATTTCTATTTCCCTTGCCTGATTCAGCTCTTCTGAGGCAGACATTAAAAAAATGCCATTTTTTTTTCTTAGACCATGGCTTGGCTTTTGCTTGCCTTTTTTCCCTTGCTGTTTTCTTCCTAAGTGGTTGAAATTTTGCTGCAAATATGAAGTCAATATCACATGATCTGGATGCATAAAAGCTGTAATTAAATTACTGTAATTTATTATTTATTGAGTGCTGACAGTGCTCTTGGGTTAGTACAAAAAACAGTAGAAAAGAAATGAGTTCCTGTTTTAGATCATAGAGAAAGAATTTTCTTCCATGGTACCTTTGGAAGACTGGAGAGAAGATCCTCATCACAATAGATTTTAAAATATTAACATCAGAAGATGGATCTTTGATGTGGAGCCTATTATTATTGACCCATTAAGAGAAAAGCTTACACAGTCGAGTGCTTAATTGGTACAAAAGCATTATTAATAGTAGATGTAATTCTGAGAAGCTGCAAACTTGGGCCTGCAGGCTAGATATAGATATTTAGTATAACTGAGTAGACCACACACACATCCACCACCACCGTCGACACACACACAGAGGGCAGAGAGCGTAAATGTAACATGTGCCAATCCATCTTGTTGAAAGGTCTTCCTATTATTTTGCTCATCCTTGGTGGATTCAAACCATTTTGTATCTATTATTCAGTTATGCCGTAAATGCTGTAAATTAGGTTAGATCATTCCCTCTTTATAGTAAACTGAGGCTTAGAATATTCTGATTGGCTAAATAATACATAATTGGTCAGTGTTGGAGCTAAAATTCAAATTCATGTCTGCCTGGGTGCAAAACCATCAACCAGATTCCTAATATGTTTATTCCTTACATATAATGCTTAACCCTAGAAATTTCTGTCAAGATGCCTAGACATGACCAATAAAGAAGTCAACCTGTGGATTGTGCAACTCAGGTTACTTGTAGCAGAATGAGGTTAGTAGGAAGTGCTGAGATATAGAGTCAGAAGATAAACTTGTTTGTAGTTAGAAATGTGGAAATACCATGTAAATATTAAGGAGGCATTAGAAAAAGTCCTAGATAGCCATGGGTATCCAATGAGAGATTGAGAACACAGGATGGAACAGCACAAAATGCCTTTAATATTTTACTTAAATCTGTGGAGAGAATTTTCAATTAGTAGCTTACATTCTCCATCTCAATTAACATTGTGTGTGAAATGAGAATTTGACCTTGGGGGAGTGGTTCACCAATTGCACCTTGTGTCAGAATATCCAGGAGAGTCTGTGAAAATTATTCAGTTCACTAGGAGTGGGATCCGTGCTTTTGCTTAGTTGCCAAGTTCTCAGTATTGCTGCTGTTTCTGATTGTTTCTGATCTTGTGTCCACACTTGAGAACCTCTGCCTTAAAGCCACAGTCCAGGCCAGCTGCCAGAGATATATAGTGATTCCAGATGTGAGAAATGCGATTTGTGTGAAGATCAGGCAGGTCATTGCAATGACAGAATTCTCCCTGAGATCCTGAATGGCATTTCATGATGTCCATAGATTGACAATATGCCCTAAATTACTAAATGCACAGCATTAGAATATTCCCAGGCTTTTTAAGTCCAGTGAGGACTGTATGCCCTTCCATTGAGTGGATAACTGACTAGATCATCACAAACAAAGGTCCAAAAATAAAACAAGATCATGAGCCTCAGCCTGAATTCAAGCAGGCTCTGCTGTTTCTTACCCCTAGCAATCTTGTTAGGGATGAATGGCCTTTAGTGCAGGAGCTCTGATGGCTTAGTGGTAAGGAGTTGCACTGCCAACTCAAAGTAACACAGTTTAAATCCACCAACTGCTCTGCAGGAGAAAGGTGGACAGTCTTTTCCCACGAGATTTACGGTCTCTGAAAACCCTGCAGAGTGTCAGCTGGGAGTTTATTCTCACTCAATGGAAGGGCAAAAGTCTTTAGTGCACTAATTGCACAAATTCTATTAAAATAATCTCATTATCTCAAGTTTCTAGAGAGTATGTTTTGTATTTTCTTTTACCTTTAAGCTTTTTTTATTTTAAAGGCAATTAAAGTAGTATATTACACATTTCTTTACACTTACATCCTTAAAACATTACTTTAAAAATTGTTGTTAACTACTAGTCATGGCAGTACATCTGCCACAATTTGAAGCATTTTTAGAGAGTGCTCTGGTGGACTATTGGGTAAGGATTTGCATTGCCAGTTCAAAGCCAAGCTGTTCAAATCCATCAGCTTCTCTGAGAGAAAAAGATGGGAAACCTCCCATCCTATTTACAGTTTCTGAAAATCCACTGGAGGGTAGGTTCTGACTCAACATCAATGAGTTTAATTAATCTCATATGCTTAAAAAACTATCACTGCCTATATACATATTTTATTGTTATTATATTTCAAACATGCAAC